AATTGTTCTCATTGATGGCAGTGGTACCAAAGGAACCAAGAAAATATACTTAGTATATTCACCTCTATGTCTGAAAATATACTTAGTATATTCATCTCTCTTAGTATACTCATCTCTACATCTGTAAAATATGAATGTAATATGCAGAGCTGAAGGTGACCTTAGACATTATCTCACCCACCCCCTCATTTCTAGTGACAGAAAAAAGTATCCTTTGAATCACCTATAATACAAATTAAGTTTGAGATAATGTTTCAGCAATGTCTTGTCCTTTAAATTTTCTATCATGCATATGATTTATAGCCTACATATTAACATATATATGTGCGTATATGCCCAAACATTTTTTTTTTTTTTTTTACTCAAGAAAGGTTATAGACCGTGGCTTTATTCCACTTAGTTGAGACCCTTTCTATTCTGCTCCCCTTACTATCCTGCAAGTCTCTAGATGGCAGAGACAATGTCTTGTGTGCCCCTTCTCGCTCATAAACACCCTCCTGGGGAGCACGCTAGGCTTCCAGGTCAGGGAGAATTCTCGAATGAATACATCTTGGTTCAAACTGCATGCCACCCTCTGGCCCCCATATATGTGTGTACGGACACAGTGGACAGTTAACACACACACATGTGCACACACACACACACACACACAGTGTGTCCACATGTAGCGGACATCTGTTAACTTTGTCAGTCTAGCACTTTTCCCTTCTTCTTCTGGGCATAGACGCACCTTCTTCTCTTTGGGGACGGCTCCTCCCTAGGCTCCAGCCATGTGTACTTGGAAATGGTGGTGCCATCCTGTTGCATGACAATTCCAGGCTGCTGACAGTGATTGCTGAAGCACCTGACTCAAGTCCAATCATAGCACCCTAGCCTCCTGGCCACAGTGATTGAGCCAAGGGTGGCCGTATGACCTAAGCTGGAGCAGTCAGAGTTCTTCCCTGGGGTCTTTCTAACTGGAGCTGAGAGGACAGATTATTTTCCTCTCTGGTGAAGTTATACATATATGAGTCAGGAACAGTCTTGTCCCCCATTTTGGGGGGTAAGTGGTTTGAAAGAATGATCCCAACACATAGAAAAGATTAGAGACGAGAGATACATTTTTGTCTATGTCCAGGATTCGTTGTTCAACTGTACCTTTGAGTGTGTGAATGATTCCAGCTTCCTTCCAGAAATGTCCCCTTTCTCCATAGTCGACTAGTCTGCTTCAGGTAGAGGAACTGAATGACTGGGTGACAAGGAGTTGTGTTTTGTCTGGTTTTTTTTTTTTTTTTTTTTGTAAAGCATATCCTTTTACCCATTTTGAATTTATTAATGTAAAATCTATTCAAAACCCCATAAATGGATTAAAACCTGGTGCCGAAGAATCCCTCTTAGGGAGCAAACAGCATTTTGTTTTGCAAAAGAGTTTTACTGGTCATTTTAATTGTGGGAAAATAGGCCTCAGGGAATGGCTTGGAAGGCAGAAGGTAAGGAAAGATAGAACTAAATTGCTATCTCTTGGGGCGCCTAAGAGGCTCAGTCGGTTGGGCCACCGACTCTTGATTTCGGCTCAGGTCATGATCTCACGGTTCATGGGATTGAGGTCCGAGTGGGGCTCTGTGCTGATGGTGTAGAGCCTACTTGGGATTCTCTCTCTCCTCTGTCTCTGTCCCTCCCCCACTCGCTCACACGCTCTCTCAAAATAAGTAAACATTAAAAAAAACCAAAAAACTAAATTGCTCTCAAAGGGGGGGGGGGGTGCGGTGCCCAGGTGGCTCTGTCGGCTAAGCATCTGACTCTTGATTTTGGCTCAGGTCATGATCGAGCCCTGTGTCGGGCTCCACGCTGTCAACAGGGAGCCTGCTTAGGATTCTTTCTCTCTCTCAAAATAAATACATAAAATTAAAAACAAAAACCTAAATTGCTCTCCTTAATCAATTAGGATTTGGGGAATTCTTGGATACTCCGGGAGGGGGTGAGGGGCCTCACAAAGGAGGAGGAGAGCTACTTTTCCGAGAGGCAGGTGACACAAGGCCAAGAGTGGGAGATGTTGAATTCCGAGAAATTGCTGATGGTGAAAATTGTTCAAGGTCTTTTAAGAACAGAGATAGTGGATATTTTAGGTCTAAATTTTGGGCCATATGCTGTGCTAGGCTGAGATGAGACCCTCTCTGTAACCACCAAAGTATAAAAGTCTACTAAACATAAGATCTTATCTGGGGAAGGAGCTGCCTGGGCTAATGCAGAACTGAGAGGAGACAGCAGCATGAAGGCAGACATACTTGAACTTGAGAATCCAGGAAGCGCGGGCTAATGAAGAAAAAGGAAATTTTCCTCAGTCCCACATCCTTGAGATGTGGGGCAGGGGCTGCTGGTTTTGACATTATTTGTTTTTTTTTTTAATTTTTTTTTCAACGTTTATTTATTTTTGGGACAGAGAGAGACAGAGCATGAACGGGGGAGGGGCAGAGAGAGAGGGAGACACAGAATCGGAAACAGGCTCCAGGCTCTGAGCCATCAGCCCAGAGCCTGATGCGGGGCTCGAACTCACGGACCGCGAGATCATGACCTGGCTGAAGTCGGACGCTTAACCGACTGCGCCACCCAGGCGCCCCTGTTTTGACATTATTTGTAGGATGGGGACTTAAGCCATTTTATAGTTAGAGGATATTGACCCCTAGGGATGGGAGTTGGGGGGACGCTCGGGTAACCAACACTGGCTCTCACTTCCAAGAATGGATATGGGAGCTCCCTTGAATCTTGAATGGGATACTAATCAAAGATAGTTTTCTTTTATAACAGGAGAGAATAAACCTAGAGAAAGTACTACAGTCAGGGATGAGGTGGGTTTAAAACACACCCAGGGGTAGCTGGGTGGTTCGGTTGGTTGAGCGTCCAACCTTGGCTTAGGTCATGATCTCATGGTTTCTGAGTTCGAGCCCCACATTGGGCTTGGTGCCCTCAGCACAGAGCCTGCTTTGGATCCTTTGTCCCCCTCTCTCACATTCTCTCTCAAAAATAAATATGAAAATAATAAAATACACCTAAAGAAGTTTGAGTAGAGGTTCTTGACCTTTAGGACAGTCATCACACTAGAAGATTCTTATAGAAGGAGGCTTATGGAAGCCTCACAGGGTGGAGTGGGCAGGGAGACGGAGATCCTCACACCCAAGATCCCTCTTCTCAAGAATTACTTTTAGAGGGGCACCTGGCTGGCTCAGTCGGTTAGGTGTTAGACTTCAGGACTTCCGCTCAGGTCATGATCTCATGAGCTTGAGCTCCGTGTTGGGCTTGTGCTGACAGCTCAGAGCCTGGAGCTGCTTCAGATTCTGTGTCTCCCCCTCTGCTCGCTCTCAAAAATAAACATAGTTTTTTTTTTTTTACTCTTTTAGAGATATCCCTCCACAGTGGCTCCCTGAGTTGGTGGCAGATGGAGAGCCAGTCGTGGCCTCCCCCAAATGGTGCCGTCAGGGCCCCAGGCTGATAAGATGCTTTTATTACACGTTTTCCTGACGATAACCACCAGAGATCAATACCCTAAAATACAAGCGTAGGCTGGTTCATCTTGACCCTGGGGTGAAGTTTCCTCTTTCACCTTACTTTCCAACAACACCCAATATCCTGGAATATCAGAGTCAGTTATGGTGCCCAGATCCTTGCTGGTAAGAGAACCGTCCCCTTGTGTGTTTTCTCATTTTCAGTGGGGTCTAGCTTAAACTTGCTATGTCGAGTCCCATTTTCACCCTCTCTGACCTCTCAGAGCTATACACTCTGGGCTTCTAAAGAGTTCTAAAGATTTTGGGGGCGCCTGAGTGGCTCAGTTGGTTGAGCGTCTGGCTTTGGCTCAGGTCACGATCTCACAGCTCGTGGGTTCGAGCCCCGCATCAGCACAGAGCCTGGAGCCTGCTTCTGCTTCTGCGTCTCCCTCTCTCTCTGCCCTCTCCCGCTCATGCTGTGTCTCTCAAAAATAAACATTAAAAAAAAATAGGTATTTTTTCAAAGTACTCCCTACACCCAATGTGGGGCTCAAACTCATGACTCGGAGGTCAAGAGTCACGTGCTCTGCTGACTGAAGCAGCCCGGCACCCCTGGGCTTCCCAAGAATTCTAATGGTCCTATGAAGAATCTGTGGCCCCGTAGACCCCAGGCTAATTGACAGCCTGTCGATGGAATAGTCTTGGCATTCAAGGTCCTCCCATGGCCTGGCCTTGACTCACCTTGAAACTGCATCACTGACCAGCTCTTCATCTCCCAGGTATGGCCAAGCCAGACTGCTGTTTTGTGACCTCAATTCATGCCTCCCTGCCGCCTTTTATCCTTCCCCCACATGGCCTCCCACCTCGCCTCCCCCTGCCCCATCCAACTCATCCTGCAAGCGGTGACTTCTCCAGTTCTGGAAGGAGACAGAAGCTCTTGGCCGCGGATTATCTCTTAACAGGGAGTCTGGTAGGAAAGAGTTTTACTCTTGTGTCTTTTTTCTTTTTTAACCATTTAAAGTTTTACTGCATGCATTAATTTTTAAATTAAAATAGTTAATTTTAATTAACACATCGTCAGAAGGGAAATAAAAATCCACCTTCAAAGCAGGACCCCTGACCTTTGTCCTGCTTCAGTAAGTGGACTCCAGGGTCCACACTGAGGTCCCCTGCTGCCTGGGAGAGGTCCACACTGAGTGTCACCACCTTTGATCAGCTCCTGGGGTGGAGCTCACTCTAGGACATGCCCGCGGCCGGTGCCAGATGCTGGGGTGTCTCGTGGTGTAGCCGAGGGGCACTTGATGCAGTGGCATCCACCAGACCAGGACGCAGGAACCAGCCCGCCCTGCCCCCCCCCCCCGCCGCGCCCTCACTGGCTCAGTCACTAAACCTCTTTGGGAATCAGCTCCTTGAGGTTAAAATAAAGGGAGGGACTCCGGCTATGCGTTCAGGTGTTTCAAACCCATGTCTCAACAGTGACTTCTCCCCCTTCTTCACACTCTCAACAGCCAAAAAAAAAAAAAGAAAAGAAAAAAGAAAAAGTTGGTCTTATTCTCCATGATTGAGATTCTGAAAATATTGATTTCCTGCATTTACTCTTACAAGCAGAATACTGCCTCCTCCCAAAAGGAAAACACTGGACTAGAAGGTTCCCTTCTGCTCTACCAAAACTCCACGGAATCTGTTTAACTTCTCATCTCAACTCCTCTTCTTAAGATTTGCCTTCTTCAGAAAGCAGAAGGAAGGAAAAAAAGAAAATCGCAGTCGGGCTCCGGTTCCTCGAGGCTTTACCGCAGGAAGCCATGCTGCAGAGCCCTCTGGCCTTGTGAAAATGCAGTCTGCAATCTGGACACCTTTTATTTAATTTCAAGAACTCCCCTTGCCTGGCGGAAAGGGGTCTGAGCAAAGCAGCGCAGCGCAGATGAGGGGAGGGTGGAAGCAGGACACTCGCAAACTGGTGCCGGCTGGGCTGCCCCGACTGGGACAGAAGCAGGAGCGACGGGAGGGGCAGAACAAGTCATTCTTGACGCAAACAAGGGTCTTGGGGCGCGCCACCCCATCCCAGTGCCTGGTCATGCAAGATGCAGAAACGGAGACCGTGGCCCCTCAGGACCACGGAGCAGATGCACCAACCGAAGGGAGTCCTTTGGGCGCCTCCTGAGGCGCCTGCAGGGTCTGGGGCAGAGTAGGGTATGCTGTCCACGAGCATGGTCAGATAACAGATAGCACCGGTTGGGAGGCTCAGGGCAGGAGACCGAGGCTCTCAGACTCTAGCACCCGCTTGCCCGGCCCTCCTGGGAAGAGACTCACTTCCTTGATCGCTGCTCCTGCGGCCATAGCCTCTCCCTCACCCCTTCACCCTGGGAATAAATCAACTGGAATAAATCAACAAAGTGAGGTCTGACCCAGGGCACCAGCTGCCTCCGGAGGGCCAGGTCACTACTGTGCAGTAAAAAGACGCACCGGATTGAAGGACCGGAGGTGGGAAGAACAGGCTGGGGGCAGGGGACCTACTGCCCGGGAGCGCCTACACAGGAAGAGCCTTTCTGGGAGGCACCAGCCAGGGCATTGCGGAGCTGCTTGGTCCCCCGCCTCGGGGTAACCGGGGGAGTTGGCCCCCCGCTGCTTCTGATTTCTGGTGGGTCAGGGGAAGGAGGCAGGAGAGAGACTGAGAGAGGCCAGGCCAGAATAGTCTCAGACACGGGAGGTAGGCAGTGTGTGTGGTGGGGGACACTGCTCTGGGGCCCAGGAGCCCTGCCACTCTTCTTGCGGGATCCTGGGTAAGCCATCCATCCATCTGGGGTCTCTCTTCTCTCAGTTGCCAAGTGGGGACTATCCTACCCCATCCACCTCAGAGGGACAGGCTAAGGGTAAAAACGGCTGACGGATAGAAAACACGTTTAAAAAAGTACAAAGCGCTACTGGAACGCGAGGCAGTGCTGTCAAAAGACACGTTACCCCTTAGCCCATCCCTCATTTCACCGACACACTTTGGCTAACCTACTCGGCATCTCTTAACCTTAGGAACTCATTTCTTTCGCTCAGAAGGCTTCTGGGACTCCCTAGTTGCTTCCCCTGATCACAGTCTGTGACCCCCGCGGCCAGTGGGGCACACCAGGTGTCTGAGGGGAGTGCCCGAAGACTGTCACCTCCTCACTGTCCCTCTGGCACCTTCCCTTGGGGAAGACGCTCAGCTGGCCCCTTGGTCCACCCTATGAGATGAGCTGGCCGTCCGTTCAGGCCGGACAGGTCTAGGGGCTCCCTGCCCAACCCCCCCCTTCCCCCCCCCGGAGGACCCTGTCTGGAGTGCAATTCCTCTTCCCAATTTCCAGCGGGCGGCAGGTGGAGGGAGGGAAGGCGCGCCGAGAACCACGAACCACGGGCAGGATCGGGTGGGGGGGGGGGGGTGTTCCGGACGCGCCCCCAGCCCGGGGCCGCTCCCCACCCCCTGCTCCTGCCGCCGGGCCCTCCCCTCCCCCAGCCCAGCCCTAGTCGTGCTCTGGTGGCGCCTGGAGAGGCCGAGGGGCGCCGAGCCCCGGGCCGCCACTGTGCACGCGCAGGTGGTCCTTGAGCGACTCCTTGTAGCGGAAGCTCTTGCCGCACTCGCCGCACGTGTAGGGCCGCTCGCCCGTGTGGATGCGCTGGTGCTTGAGCAGGTTCTGCTTGCGGATGAAGCTCTTGCCGCAGAGCGCGCACTGGAACGGCCGCTCGCCCGTGTGCAGCCGCTGGTGGTTCTGCAGGTGCTCCTTGCGGCTGTAGGTCTTCTCGCACTCGGAGCACTTGTAGGGCCGCTCGCCGCGGTGCGTCATCTGGTGGCGGATGAGGCCCGAGTGGCAGTTGAAGCTCTTCTCGCACTCGGCGCACTCATACGGCCGCTCCTTGGTGTGGCTGCGGTGGTGGATGATGAGGCTCTTGCGTACCCCGAAACTCTTGCCGCACTCGGGGCACGAGTAGGGCTTGCTGCGCGCGCCGTGCAGGAGCAGGCTCCGCCGCAGCCCGCCCGGGCAGCAGCTGCCGCAGCCGCCGCCGCCGCCGCC